CCTCAACATTTCAGGCTTTTTAAAGTTTTCTTTTATACATATTTGTGACTTTTGTGATGAGGTTAAAGAAATGTTTTCCTTCTTTAACGCTCCTAATATTTCTACAACGACACTATGCTGTGGACCTGAAGACAACTATTCTCATTGTCAGTTTAATCTTTAAACAAACAGTTTCTTCTAAGCCTTGCTAAGTCTAGTTTTGGTATAGTTCTAGTAGAAATGTTTTTTGGGGTTTTCAGATCTTGCCTTGACTTCAACAGTCCCATTTAACAATATTTCTTTAAGGACTGTATATTCAATACCATGTTTTTTTTATTCTGAAAATGGATGTACTATTGATGACTCCTGAATCTTGCTGCTAAATATTATGTGGCAGATTACCGACTGCATTATTGGATTTTGTTTGGCTCATTATCCAATTGTTTTTCAATTACATTGTCATTAGGTTTTCATCAGTTCTGTAAATTATAAAGATGAGACTTTTATTTATTTTAATAAATAAAATCACATAGCTCTTTCTTTCCTTAAATTATCATTTCACAATCTGTTATTTTCTATGCACAACTAAGTCAAATTTTACATAGTAATTAGCATCCACACTCAGTTACAAAATAACACAAACTTTATAATTATTAAGAAATCCAAAGAGTTTCCATGCAGTGAAGATAAAAAGAATTGTTTTATAACAGAACTTCAAATGATAAAAAGAAAAATAAGTATTAGGGCAGAAGCTCTGAAATACAGTAAATGCCTTATTTCTTCAAGCAGAAAAGAAACATTTTTTTCTAAATAAACTCACATAAATGTTTAGTCCTTTAAAATATTGGTGGCCTACCATAAAACTGAAAAACCCAAGGCTCTGAAAAACTGCTAAATAGTAATTCCCGTGTCTTTAAAAAACTAAAAACAAATCATAATTATTGAAATTAATTTAACTTCCAAACAATTTGTTCTACTTTCTGCATATCACACAGAATTATTACTTGAATATGAAATGGTTGAGAATTTCCCCATGGAGTGCACAAATTAAACTATGTAATCTGTTTGTTTTTTTAAAAAAAGATATATATTTGAAGATTCTAAAAAACAGCACAATAAACTTCAAATAATAGTTATAGTAATGATTAATAATATCTACAAAATACAGTATATACACTTTTGTGCGGGATTTTTCAATTGCATCAATTTATATATTTTCGAAAGATTCATGGGCATTCACTTCACTTAAAAATGATTAATATATTCTGATTTTAATTATTATTATTTTTATTAAAAAAGTTTTTATTTTCCATTTATTCATACAAAATACAATTAACCATTGGTACCGCCTGCCCATTCCCCCCCAGGCTGCTTCCCTCCTCTTTCTCCTCTCCTACTCTCTTCCCCTCCCCATCTCCTCTAACCATCCTACTTCCTCCCTACTCCTTCCTCCCCTCTCACACACATGAATGCAGCATAGGGGAAATGCCCAAGCATTTGCCATGACTATATTATCATTACCCACCCACTCACCCACCCACCCACCCTCAACCCTCCCCCCCTCGCTTCCCAGAGCAGAGTACAGGGTTATTAATAAGAAGGTTAACAATAATAAAAAAAGGAAAAAAAAGAAAGAAAAAAGAAAAAAAACATCATACTTAACCTTTAACTCCCCTTAAATTAAGACATATAAACAAATCTCTACAACAGTTACTATAATATTTACTCATAAAATAAATGAAACTTTATAGTACCATATTTTTTCTGAATATAATCTATCCATCTTCTCCATACAATAATATATCTTTCTTATGTATGATCCTTCAAATAAACAGAAATTTTTGCCATTGCTGCAAAGTTAGAAACTTTAAATATCCATTCTTCTAAAGTAGGCAACGAGTCCTTCTTTCAATACGAGCCTACTAATAACCTTGCTGCAGTTAATAAATTCAACATTAAAGTAGTTTCTTTGTCATTTAATCATTTTAATTATTGAAAGGAATATGCTTTACTGGCTTTGTACTCTTCACAAAAATTATACCACTGTATAGAAGCTCTCTGAGTACTAATTATTACTGGATGATCTATTGTAGCTTGCTGGCCTTCTATGATTAAAATAAAATAAACTCTAGGACAATCTCAGACTCCCTTGTCTAGATTTAACAAAATAACCTATGGCTTATTCAGAAATAATGGTTTCAGGAAGACATAAAAAATTGCATACGAATAGTATTTGCATTAAATATTTTATTTCCTCGAGTTTACATTCTGTTTATATTTGAAAAGTATAACATATCTGATTTTTACAATGTTTTCATTACAAAACTATTATTCTATAATTTATTTTCACCAAATTTGTCATAGCTAAAGTTCTATTTTTATTCTTCCACAACTATTTCTTTGAATGTAGATTACAGCTCTTATTATATCACATCAATTCTAATAATTCTTTTTAGAAGATAGAGAAGCAAAGAATATTTCTTGGCTCTTCATTTTTATGACCTCTAAAGCAACCAAGCATGACTTATTAAGAATTATAAATGTCCACTATTACATTATACTTGTCTAAATTTCATGTACTCATTATCATTGCTTATGAAAAATCAATTATTTTAAATATGATTGGCCTCCATATGGAAAAACATACATTTCACATCTATTTCTTGCACTATAAGTCTCTGAAATGAAAATTGCATACAATTTAATTGAATTTTAATTCTAGACTTATGATTCTTGAGATCTTGAAGCAATTCTTAAAATTTAATATTTTCTATTATGAAAGTCTACTAGAAAATGTTTTATTATTTATTGGTACAAATGAGAGATTTCTAGAAGGCCCTTCTAGAGAACTATTAATATCGATTCTATGTACATTTACAAATAGTAGGTCCAATGGAGGATCTATGCAGCTCAGATTCAACGATCAGCAGATAGAGATCCTTGGCACATAAAACCTACATCTAATGAAAAAGGAAAAAGAGGTACTGAAATAAGTTTCTTGTCCCTTGCTGATTCAAGAATAGCATCATCATCTACTAATCTTGGAATTAATACTGGGATACATGTGTTGGCAATTGCTTGCACAGCACGTGCCTGGGCACATTAGCATCTGTTGGCAGACCTTGACACATAAGGTGGACTGAGAACAAGAGCTCATGACCAATTCAGGTCGTCATTGTGCAACTGGGCAATAAAATCTAGCCATTTGTAAAGAAGTTAGCCTTCACTGCACAGTCAAAATCAAGAATTATGACCCACATTTTCTGATACTCATAGCATATGGTATAAACTAATAAAGAGGCCTATTTGTTGAGAAGCGGTGAACTCCATGATAATAGGTAATGAATATTTTTTTCATTGTTTTGTTCTTGTCTGTTGACTCAGATGAAATGTATAAAATAAATGTGAAAAGGAAATTAGTTATATAATCTACAGTTTACATTACAGTAATTAATATAATTACATATTAACATGTCTCATGTTTTATACAGATGATGTTTAAGTTATCTTTTTCTCTTTGATGGGGCAAACATGTATCTTAATTTACTCTATTTTCAAATTTCAACACAGAATTTGGAACTGTTTATGCTTTTCTCAAAGATCCTTACTAGTGTATAAATGAACAAAATAATGCCACTATAATTAGTACACTAAACATAAAAAGGATATGTGTAAAATGCAATTCATATTTACAGCAGCAAAGCTAGTATTGTTGGCAGAAATTAAATTGCCATTGATTGATGTGATTTGGAAAATTTTACCTCTGATGCTTGTCATGCATTTACATTCTGTTCTAAAAGATACATACTCAATTATGACAGCTAGCTACCTAAGTACATCTCAAATTTAATTGCTTCATGTTTCTAAAAAAACCACATTTCACTCGTATTAAAATGACTATTATGACAAACAAATTTAAAATACACACTTAAGCCTCAATCAACAGGTAACACTATTCTTATTTTATTTTATCCAAATGATCTTTAACAATTCAATACTAACTAAAGACCATCATGAAACAACAAAATGCACATACAGAATATTACCCACCCTAGCATTTGTTTGGTTTTTTATTTTGTTTTTGTTTAGAAATATTATTTCAAATCCTGTAGAAATTCTGATGCAGTTGGAACATATTTATTACACTATTACAAACAGTATTAAAGCAACTGGCATGGACTTCTATTTAATTGAACAAATAGACAGACTTCAGTCTATTTTAATGCAGAATAAGGCATGTTTCCTTCCAATGGATCACATTTATATAGAGCAGTCAATTGAAGGGCATCCTGTTATAAGACCATTATTTTTGTTGACACAGTTTGTTGACACATTTTTTTTCATAGGCCTTAATGGCAACATCATTATAAGCACAGAAGAAAACTACATCCAACACATACTAAGATAGATTTGGACTAACTGCACAAAATTTAAGTGGGCAACTTTTAGTTCTTTAGAAATTAATGTAACTCCTTTCAGAGACCTCATCTATAGATGAGGACATGATAACGGTAAATGTTTATTTGTTTATTTAATTTAAAATTTAGATATCAAACAAATAGAGTTTCCAATAAACTCTATTATAACTTTATTATATATATTTTATGAATTGTGACCTGCCCAAACTCTGGGAAATATCCTCTCCTTGGTTAGCTTCCATCTATTGTTCTTGTCTTACCTTCAGTTACTTGTGGTAACCCTCAAATATTGGAACACTGCTATCAAGTTACCCTGAGTCCTTTTCACTGGATTAGACACCTTTCTTCATTTGTTTTAGCCTCCTAATTATCTTTCTTGCTCTTCTCTGCACTCTTTCCATAGTCTTTATATTAAAGCACACTTTATTATAAAAACTATCTGGAGACAATAAAATTCCATTTTCAATCGACTGTTGAAAAGGAACACTGGCAAAGCATTAATACCACCCATATCAGAATGTCCAAAACCTGAAAAGAGACACCCAAAACCAATATAAAAAAAAAAATCACAAGTCACAAAAAACAGGTTCATAGAGTATTTACCTATTTATGACCCAGCTATTCAGAGAAAACAGCATACATGTTGCCATTTAGCTCATTCTTTAGTTCTGACATTCTCTTCATTGCCAGAAAGTCCACAGTTGATAAGACTGTAGGAAATAAAATGTTGAAAAAAGATATCTAGGGTGATATTGATAAAAGGAAAAAATAGAACCAATCAACCCAGGATTGATTATGTATTTGATTATGTATTTATTTTATTAGATTTAGAAGCTGACCAACTTCAGGAGATTCTGCACAGCTTACATGTTAAAAGTGGGGGGAGGGAAATCCAGTAATATTAACAGAAAAAAATAACATGGGCATCCAGAAGAAAAACAATGGAAGAAAAAAAATCAATAGAGGTTCAACCACCAACCTAATCCCAAACCGGGGAAATAACCAAGTTTTTCAAAGACAGATCTACAGGAACATGACAGAAAAGATATGCATCCTATGTCCTGATAGATTATACTGTTTGACTGAAGGAACCTTAAGTGTGTCTACCCTACTTAACCTTACTAGGCCAAAACTATTGGAGGTAGATAGTCCAATAAATAACTATTATTGTTACTATTGTTAGTAACACTTTACTTGCACTTGGAAACCAACTGACAACTGGTGTACTTCACAGAGCAGTGTTCATGGCGCCAATTGCTACCTGCACTGGTACATTCTGGAACACCTGTAGTTTACAAGTGGTTTTCATGAACCACCCTATATTAACGCTTTGCAGTGATGTCCCAAAGGAGCTTTTTCAAAAGGCAACTGGACTTTCTTTGTTTTTTCCTTGAAGATGTTTCATCCAAGAAGCTGCTTGGGAACTGAAGAAAATAAGCATGGTTATAACTTTGTAATTTTCTCATTTTATTACTGACTTTAATACATATTTTTATTAGTAGAGTTTAATCCAAAAACATACAATTTAAAAAGAATATTCGGCAAAATCATATACAACTCTTCAATACTAGCAATTCTACTTACACTTGTGAAGATGGGATACAAACAGAATGAATCTATGTACTTCTCACAGTCTCTCAGGGATGTAAGGATTTCAAACAAGAACAAAATATCTCTCCCTTCCCCATTCTCTCTTTCTTTTTATTTCTCCCTAATACATAAACACACACACACACACACACACACACACACACACACACACGAATATGCAATGAAAAGTTTCAGCTCAAAGCATTTTCTATTTAAATGCAAATTCGATTTTTTAAAAAGGGTCCTTCAGTAATCTAACCTAAAATACTCAGATAAAATCAATCTGAAATGGTACAGGGAATTAATGTTATATGAATGCTTTAGTTTACTTTCTATTTTGTATACTTGATGCATGTTTTATTCTGCTTAGGTCTCTTTTTAATCACTCATTTCTATAAAGAATTATGTTTAATATCCCTAATGTTAAACAAAATAGTAGCATACACACATACACACACACACACACACACACACATGATGTGATCTGTTACAAAATTTTGGAATGGAGGAGGGAAATAAAACTTTATGAATATCATTGTAATGACTATATGTGATATGTTTTTATTATATTTAGGTAGGAAGAGGAAAACAATCTCCAAGAAATTGAAAATTCTACATTATATTGACACAAGGACAAACTCTTCAAGCATAACTCATCAGTGTTGATACTTTCAAATACATAAAACATTACATCTGCTCCTTCCATGCACTGCACTGGCTGTAAATCTTCAAAAGAAAAAGAGTTCAATGTCATTTCAGCCACTGTAAGCTACAGTTTACAGCAGAAAGATAAAAATAGTCACATTGTCACTGACATCCACACCACTTTTCTACCGCAGTATTTCTGTGTTCTAATTTATCTTTGCGGCTGAAGAACAAGCAATCAATTGTAAGTAACAAATGTGATTTGATTCTAGTCAGCAGCAATTTTCTCCAGCTTTTTCTCCATCCTTCAAATATATGTATTATATTAACACCTATTTTCAAGCCCAGCAATCTTTAGAGAAAAATATTAAGTCTTAAAATATATAGTAAGTCCTGTAAGCAGGTTAAAAAAGATGCTAGGCAGGATAACTTAAAAATCATTTAAAAATCTGCCTGGAACCTTACATATATTTAAGAGATATTATATTTTCATGAATTTGCCTTCTTTTTAAAGGTGTATCCTGTTTCCCCCACCAAACAGAAAAAAAATCATCAGCCCCTCTTATGTAACATCATATGGGCATCTTAATACACATATTAAGCAACTTAATGAGAAATTATTTTGAATGGCATTTGTTCTTTTTTGTTCAGATATTTCAGATATGCTTTCATTATTATTCATTATTTCTTATTTACTGGGCTGTTCATAATGTCTCAGAAGTACCCATTTTCTGTGCTAAAATAAGAGAGTAGTTCCTCTTGCTGATTTATTTCCATAAAGAGATGACGATGATGATGATGATGATGATGATGAGATAGGAAACTGCTTGATATTCTACTATTTTAATTTGTCATGCTAATATAGTCACATGAAGGGACATTATAGATATAGAAGGTAACTGATTGGGAATGTATTATTTCTGAAACCAATTCAAAGCGTTTGATGATATTTAAGTTTTTTTTATAGCTTGGAATGAGGATAATGTAAAACCACCAGTTTTAGAGCAATAATATCAAATGGTATGCTTCTCAATGTCTTGAACAGACTTCAACTTTTGATGACTAGATGGATGCAATAGGTATGGAACACGATAGGCTTACTTACTGAACACTTGTTTAGTGACATTAAAAGTTACAACAGTGTGACAAAATAACTTTATGATCAATTTATGACCATTTACAACATTCACAGTCTCCCTTAGTCACGTGATCACCATCACAATCAGTACCTGATGTTCAATCTGCTGTTTTTTTTCTTTTTTTTTCCTAGCCATATTATTTTTGTTTGCCCTTCCTAATTGTACCATACTTCGCTTCTAAGTCCAGACAAAATCTGAATGGCATCCAGTATATTTTGTTCTTTTTATAGTAAGGTGACCAACCGTCCTCCTTTAGGGAGGACAGTCCTCCTTTTGTGAGTTCTGTCCTCCCTCAAAAAGTGTCCTCCTGTATGTCCTCCTTTTCAATATTTGAAAACTAATCTGCAGGGCTTTTTTTTCCTCATAGAACGCTCAGAACGGCGTTCCGGCACCTTTTTTGATGGTTTTTTTTTCAACTTTTGCATGAGCTGTGCTACTCCCCCTATTGGCTTTCAAAAACCAATAGAATTGCTGCTGAGCGTGCCAAAACACCAGGCCGGCAAACTTTGCACATGTAAGTTGTCTGCAGCGAAGGCGAATTGGCAGGAACTTTGCACCCCTCCCTGCTACCCAACTACACCATCTCCTAGTTAGTCCCGAAGATATCTGGAGGAGACTGGAGCAGTGACGCCACGGTAACTTTCTCTTGATCTTCGGCCCTGCTAGGGCAATAATGGCTGCGGGCACAAGAGGCAGGGATGGCGGGGCTGCTGCGGGGGTGTGAGGGGCCGGCTGCCCCCCTGTGATGTGGGAGCCGTGGGGCCTGCTCTACACAGGGCTGCACAGGGTGGGCGGTGGTGCTGGCGGGGTGGCTGCAGGTGGGTGTGTTGACGGCGGGCTGCCCTCCGGGGCCAGAGCCAGCGCAGCTGATGTTTTGGGAGCTGCGGGGCCTGCTCTACAAAGCGGGGCAGCAGTGCTGGTGGGGCGGCTGCAGGCGGGGGCATGGCATGTAAGCATAATTACAATATAAAATGTTATTGTTACAAATGTTTTTTATTATGTATTTATCATATTATAGTGTATTCTGTATTATTGTTACAATGAATAAAATGTTTCTTTTATTTACGATATTTTTTTCTTCAATTTATTTGTGTCCTTTTCATTGTAAAAAAGTTGGTCACCTTATTTATAGCACCAAGGAGATATATTTTTTTTTTAAAAAAAAACACTAGTGTAATTAAAGTTCTTTCCTGCTTATAATTTTTATCTGACTTTTAAATTCTAGCATTCTTTTAATTTTTAAGTTAATTGAAGCTGGCAGTACATTCAACTAAATGAGTAAGTTTTGTGACTTGCCAGTCCATTTCCCCCCTTTTATTCTTGCAACTTTTGAAAAATATAAAATATATTATGAATATATAATGTACAGCACAGATATATCTATGATGAATAAAAGAGTGAATATTTTTCTTTCTTTTCCAGTAGCTTGTTGAAACTGAACTGCTTATGTAATCATAGCCATAACTGGTTTGATTCAGATGTACGAAAAAATCAGTTTGGCATTATATAAATATGGCCAATTAAATAAACACTACTTTTGTGATGAACTTTCTTATTCCATGTGTTCTAAACCACAGTTTGAAATTCCGAACCAATAAAACAATGGTTTGCTCTTGCACAAAATTATAATATAATGATATATTCATCCTGATATAGTAATTTTGCTGGTTTAATTTCAGCAGCAAAGAAGGGACTACTGCATGTGATAATGAGGAACACATGAACCCAGGTTCATTCTCACATTAGCTATTCAAATCTTTATTACTGCAAATATTCAAACATTATGTAGATACCATTAAATTGTGTACCATCAGTAAATGTCACCAAGAACTGATTATAGTATATGTAATTGAAGAATGGATTACATATAATTGAAGTCAATTGATTCCAAAAGCAAGTCTTAGATTCCAAATTATAATTTTAGCTACGTAGATAGAAAATACCATTGAATTAAAAATATATGTGCTTTAGTCAATAGCCTAGTACTGAGAATGGAAGCTTATATATGTTTACATTAAACCCAAATCTAACTTCCATTACACTATATGAACAATAAAATAGCTGACTTCCCAAACATATTACAGATTTCTTTCACACTGAAAACCTTTTTATAAGCACAATGACCAATCTTTGCTTAATCATAGTACAAGTGTACATAACGTCTGAGCAGAGAAGTCATCTAAAACCTGTCAAACAGAATCTTTACATGTCAAACAATCAGAGATATGAACTGACAGAGACATATTCAATTTCACATTCAGTTCAAAATCAGTGCTGGAAACATGCCCATAAAAATGTGCAGTATGAGCAGCAGTGCATGCCCAAATATGTTGCTTGTGTATTCAGGGCAAGAGAATTCTACTGTTAGCACCAGTTGCCACACAGCCATCAAGCAAGTCTTTAAAGCAAAGGCAGGGGTTTTTTTGTCATAGAACACCCAGAACGGAGTTCTGACACCGTTTCTGGATGAAACCTTGTAGGGTAGGCAAGGCAGCTTGTATGACATGTTTGAGTTCCGGCACCTTTTTTTTTTTTTTTTTACAAAAAAAGCACTGAGCAAAGGCATAACCATAACCAAATGCCACTTCTGAGAAAGCTCCCTCTGTTATTTTATACAAGAAGGACCTTAACAGATGACTTTAAAG